AAAAAAWKRARKTTYCYTTTTTTTTTTTGATTAGCAGAAAGTATATTTCATTTTATTAGATTTGATTAAATAAGTAGGTAGTACAACTTGAGGACAGAAATTTCATTCCCTACTTTGAAACCCAAATTTCATAGCGGCCCAGAATAAATGCTCACTCATAACCCCTTGTTTAATGAGGGAATCAACTACCCATTTTATTACATAGCAAGGGAAGCAATTTGACTTTATTACCTAAAACTGAAGTTTTCTGTATAAAGGAAATTCTATGGACAAACAATAGATCAAGTAAACTGAGAAACATATTAGCATTCCAAGGACCATTTTACCTTCACTTGCTTCAACCTATCTTCTTTGTGCTTTCTTAGGCTAATTATTGCCTTAACCCAATAACCATATTTAACCCTTCCTAATTATCTGTTGAGTTACTGCTCAACTCAGGAGTCAGCTTTGAGGGTGACTCAACCTCCTTAAAGAAGAAGAAGAAGAATATCTCATGCACATTCCATTCCTCAACTGATACTTATAGGCTTAACATGTGAAGCCATGTGTAGTTAGATATTCTCTGGCCTGATGTGGCCTTCTCAGGTAAACATACTGAACAATAGGTTTAGTTGGAGAGGTCAAGTGTGGTTGTGTGGGCCCCAGAGTGTTTCTAGGTTTGCTTGGGTTCAGGCCTGGAATATACCCAACAGGTGTAGTAGGCTGAGTTCTATCAGTACCCCTTGTTGAATTAGTGCATACAGTTTAACATGAATCTGCCACAGTTTTTCCTGCTCCTATACAATCAGAAATAACTACAAGCTAGCATAATAATCATAAATATATGTATGCCCCTTCACTAAAAGCACAAAACATTAATCAGTGGTTATGAATTATGATAAGAAACTGGTATATTAAAAAGAGAGGACATGAGAATCTATAAAGGTTCAGAGTTGCAGCACTTTAAAATTATAGGCCTACAATTTAACTTTTGGTCCTTTGAAACAATGGAATGAGAAGAATTTATGGGGTCATAATACTGAACATGTGACTTGACTCCCATGAAGTTCAAGCTCTCCTCTATCAACTTCAATTGTTTTTCAAATGCTTCCTAGCTACCAACCTATCTCAGACATTCTATTAGCATTTTATGAGCCAATTCAATAATGATGGGGGTGTTGATTCATCTTGAATATAAAGTTGTTGCCACTGTTTTTTTCTTGTCTTTCATTAGAAGCAACTAGCATAGATGAATTGTGGTATCTTTAGCTTTTTTCGGGTCAAACTTTAATGAATCAACATGTTATTTCATGTTGCATCAGAATTAACATATTTATTTTTATCAATAGAAAAAAAAACTAGGAAACAAACTGTAACTTGAGTGATTATATTCTAGATGGAGATTTTCTCATGATCTCATGACTTCAATTTCATCTTTAATTCTTTTAGTTATTTTCAGTTGGGGCCTTTCATGGGACATAAATGAAATATGCAATAGAGCCTGCTAAGGGTTGTTGTTTGCTTTAAATTTGTCTGAGTTTTGAGGAGACAATAAGGGTAGATAGAATAAAGAGTTTAGTTTATTGTGACTCTATCTTTGCTTTTTCAGAACTCCTATTATTGAATTATTAAGGTAGTTCTTACAATCTTGCTTGTCCTTCATTCCAAAGATAATTAGGCTAGTTCTTTTTATTTTTTTCCAGTTAAGTAGTTTGCCCAAATTTCTTTTCTGTTTATTGTTAATGAGGTTGCTAAGGTGAATAGGTCTGGCTTCACGACAAGTGCAACCCAGGTGCTATGGATTTTGGATAGAGCTAGATTCATAGACATGTCTGATTTTTGGGATTGGGATGCATAGGTATGGTGTTTTGGGTTTGAAACTTGTATGAGTGTGGCTTACGTTTTGTGTTCATGGGAGCACATGGGCTAGGTTTTAAGTATGATGTTTTGGGTTCATGGAAGTACTTTGGCTAGGTTTATGGTGTTTTGAGTTCACCAGAGGACATTGTCTGTGTTTAATTAATATTAATATATATGTAGACAAACTTCTATACACATAGGTGTTTTGGGTTCAACTGAGGATTTGAAATAATAATCATGTTTACCTTGAGATAGAAAGAAAGTCCTGTTAGAAAACAGCCCAGGGATATCTTAATTAATGAAAATTTTCAGAGTTACTGATAAAAAAAAAGAGAGAGAAAAGAAAACAGCCCAGGGATGTCCCTGTTGCTGAAACCTGAAATTAAGATCTCCATTGTTCATAAAGAACAACTTTAATGCTACTGAATGAATATATTTATTTTGAAATAAATCCAATATTCTAGCTTTGGGCAAGTGTTGAAGAATGTCTACATAATCCTGTTAAGAAACAAACCAGTTAGTACTTAATCATTTTTATTTGTTTATGAAATGTTCATAGAAACCACAAACTTGAATTTCAGTAGCTTCATCAGAAACATCAGCATCATTCACATACAAACACAGACAAGGATATGAAGCTTGTGTCATTATTTACCCTGTTTTCCATACAACCTGATCACATTTTCAATTATATCTGCTTACCAGCCATCTAGGAGACTCAGGAACAAAAAAGAGACCTAGGAGCAGGAAAAAACATGGAATAAGTCCTTCAAACAAGATACCCCCCAATCAATTAATCCCCTATTAGTATACCAATTTAATCTTTAGGTGTTAGAACTTGCCAGTTAGAGCCAGTGTTCGCCATGATACAACTGTCCCTATTAATAAGGTAACTGGTAATCTAGTGACAATCATGAGCTGCAGAACGCAATGGGTTATTATCATCAGTGCCTCAAAAAGCCTGTTCGATGCTAACAGCTACATGTAGAGATAGATAAACAACCCAAGTGGGTTTCTGTTAGTGTTTGCATAAGACTGCAAGACGCAATAAGGTAACTGTCCCTATTAGTGTTTGCATAAGACTGCAGGACGCAATAAGGTAACTGTCCCTATTAGTGTTTGCATAAGACAGATAAACAACCCAAGTGGGTTCCTATTYGATGCTAGCAGTTACATGTAGAGAGGTTCAAGATCCTGAAAATAGATTTGAGCCTTAGTAAGTGGAAGTGACTTCTTTTTATTGAATCCACAGTTGAATTGCTTAGTGGAAGAAGCTTGGCTTTGTACATCTATCAATTTATCTATAATTACAAAAGGTTCCATAAACTTTCAGGGGCACGTGGTGCCTTAGTCATTATGAGCTTGAACAGTATTATTGGATACTTCTTTTTCTGACTTCGGGAACATCATGGGCATGTTCAAATGCTGTACCAAGTTGAGCACCACATCCAATTATAGTCATGGCCAAATCAATTGATGTTTAGGTGTCTTGGAGGTCTCCAAACATTATGTAATGGCTTCTTTACATTGATTTTGATGGGTGGGTACTTCACATTAAATCTTAAGAGTGGGATAGGAAATCCTTAAATCTCCATTGAATTCCAAAAGAAAGACATGGACAGCCAAACGCAGTCTTTTCCCCAAATGGAGCTCTATTCTCAGTAGCTCTATTATCATCTGTATATTGGGAATTCTTATACTGTTAATAACAGTATTGCTGAACCTAGAATTCAACAAGAGATTAAAAGAAAGCCAAAGACAAAAAAGTTGCTATGCGATAGAGAAAATTAAACTAATAGAGAAAGATTAGAAAAAAAAAACATAATTGTCATAGAAGTGAGATACTTGCAGCAAGCTCCCACAGTGACAATTCACTAAAACACTACTTTTCTATCAATAACAACCATAAACTCCATTAATTGTGAAGAAAGAATGGTAGAGGTACAAATTTAATCGGCAACAGAAAACAGAATTCATTAATAAGTATTGAAGCAGGTAGAATTGGTTGTGAATTTACAATTCAGTTATTGTTTCAATTGGTCAACATTCAGAGCATTTTTAGTTTCCATTTTGTACTTCATTATGGTACCTTGGATTATGCCATTGGTTTCCTTATACCTTTCTTTGAAACTAAGTATTACTGTATCAATTAACATCTAAATTAATTTGATAGCAGAGATGGCTGACTTAAATTTGACAATTATGATATGATTTTCAGAAATTATTGGCATCTGGAAGCCTTGGCTTTAAACACAAATTTTCTAGTGTCAGGTAAAATCCTTGTCTTTAGTTCATTCCTACCGTCTTATGATGAAGTTTGTCATGAATATGGTGCTCTTATGATTTTTGTGTTGAATGGTGGTCTTGGAATGGATGGATGATGAGAGGGAGGTACTCTCAGACATTAGGGGTGAAATGGATGAATGAATGCATACATTGGAGTGTTTTTTTTTCTTTTCAGGTGACCTTACTCCTAAACCTATTCCCTGTAACCATTGCAACCCACCACTGAAAGTGTTGCACTTAAAACATACCAGACCCTAACATGTCTCCCGGCTTTCCCTCAATCTCTTTCTTTTATTTCACTAGCCACAAACAGTATTCCAGTGACTGGGATAGCATCATGTAAAAGGACTAAAATATTCTTTATGACATGGGTAATGCCCTGCTCTCCATGAGGATGAGTCCCTCCTTAGGTCCTTCGAGTTGGGCTTTATTTGGAATTGGCAAGGTGTGGACTTTGAGAAGCATCTTTTGCTATAAACCTAAGGAGAACACCATTATAAGTTCTTCTGGGGATCAGGTTTGAATGCTTAGTTCAACTGTTGACATTTTGCATCCCAACAAGCATGAATTTGTTGTTGGGTAGCCTTTCATAAGACAGAAGGAAAACAACAATACTAGCTGGTATCCTAGTTAGGGTTCTTTTAGTAGAAGCACTCTTGACTTTTCATAGGTTCTTATCCTTTCAAAATAATAATAGTAATAATAATAATAATAATAATAATAATAATAATAATAAGAATAATAATAATAATAATAATAATAATAATAATAATAATAATAATAACCGTTGAAGTTTCCGAGCTAAGGGGCTGTTTGATAACTGTTGAAGTTTCCGAGCTGAAAGACTTGTAGCTTTGTCCTTTGATGGATAAAATGATATTAAATAATAAAATATTCTAAGAGTATAGTAGTCTATTCAACTTCAGCTTCAGCCACTAGGGAGCCCACAAAACCTCTTTAAAAACTACTTCACTAAAAGACAAAGCAATAGGATTTCACTTCAGCTGTTATCAAATGGTCCCTTATAGCTCCAAGCCCAACTTCAGGGTAGACATTTTGGACACCTTGAAGGTAGGTCAATTTATTATTTCCATATTTTATTTTCTTGGTAAACTAAACCACATTTGAGGGGGTAGTTCAGCATTTCTACTTGTTTTAGAAAAGCACTTCATGATACAATTATTATGAATTTCTTCTGTTTTACGAGCCAACAAGTGAAGATCATTCTCATCTACTCATCCATATATCTTTTTAATTTATAGTCATTTGAAAGGCAACAGTTCAAAATTTCTGATTGATCTTGCATTGTGTACTTGAGACAAAGGGAAAGGGTGTAGATGACAATCTTTCTTTTTCCCCTATAACAATGTATTGAATGTATTATTGCATGCCTTTTGGAGGCTTAATAGGAGCCCTAGACATGCAACAGTAGTGTAGCACAATTAACACAAGTATAATCAAGATTCAATAAAAACAGTAGTGTCGCCCATGTTATCATTAACTGAACTCCAGCTTGATTATAACCAGCTGAAACCAGATGTTCCCCCATTCATWTTTGAATGTTCAAAGCTCATTTTTCTRGACCTGTCAAATAATCAAATTGCAGGTCCGATACCTATTCAACTTATGACTAGTCTTAAGAATCTTAAAATCTTGAACCTCACCAACAATCAATTTGAAGGACCAATTCCCATGGAAATCATGAAGCTAGCTGAACTTCAAGAGCTGAGGGTAGGAAAAAATAAACTAAATGGTACAATTCCAATAGATATTGGCCTTTTGTCCAACCTCAGAATTCTTGAACAGTAGGAAAATCAATTTCATGGGCCAATACCATCTTCTATAGGAAAGCTCACCATGCTTCAGGAACTAAATCTACAGAAAGCAGGCTTGAATTSTAGTATACTAGATGAGCTTGGCTTTTGCACCAACCTTACTTTCCTTGAACTGTCAGAAAATAACCTTTTCATTTGTCAAGCTAGATGGAGAGAAAATTTGTTAAAGTAAAGAATGTCTAGAACATCATGCATTCTTAAYAATATGAACTAAAATTTGACTATGATGTCATTATCCTTAGTAAAATGACTTAAATTTTAACTTCCAGAAAACTTCCTAACACACTCAAATGCTCAATAAAACATACACCTACTAAATCTGACTTGCTAGTGAACATTATCAGCTTTATTAGATATATGTATATACACAATGATATTATCAGATTTGGGTCTTGATTGGATTGGGCTGGACTCAATTCTGATTCAATTATAAATGGATCTTATAATTGGACATGGGTGATGTTTCATCAGATCAATCCTCTAATAGCTACTACCTACCGGGTTCAGGTTGTAGAAGTGCCAAAACGATTTAGGACTTCTATGACGAGGTGGTGGTGAAGCCCAGTGGCAGAGGAGCTTGTAGTACTAGAGGTAGGGGTAGAAGAGGTAGAAGAAGATCAGTGACTACTGGCTAGTCATTTTTTGGCTGAAATGTTTTCAGAGTATACTATTGAGCTTTTGGCTACTCACTTATTGGGCTTCAGTGTGCTTGATGTTATCTTGAGGAGCTGTGTACTCTAGTTCTGGTTTTGGCCGTTCATTCTCTTAGTCTGGATGGTTGTTTTAGTGCCTAGTTCTATTCTATGTTGGAGTGGGTTTAGGCCCTTTTATGGAGTTTTGGTTTTGGTCTTTTTCGGTTTGAGGCCTCGAGCCTCTCTTTGTATACACTTTTTTCAATAAATAATACCTTACATTTTTTAGAGAAAAAGGATCTTATATTTGAGATTTGACTTAGTCTGGCTTAATCAGATCAGATTTTGGATTTGGACTTGGACAATCAAATACAATTGACATCCTTAATGGGCACCTAGGGATGATTGGACACCTTGAAGCAAGACTAATGTTGATGAGAAAATATTTTCTTTTTTATGTTTTAGTGAATTATGCAATAAGTTACTTATACTAAATCATTCTACATATACATGAAGGGAGATGTAATGTGGGACTAAAATTACACCCCTTCCCAACCCAAAAGAAAAAAGAAGAAAATAAAAGACCAGGGCACAAGATGCTAGGATTTTGAAGGAGAAAATAGTAGAAAAGGGGACAAGATGTTAGGATTTTATGTATAATTATTTTTATTTCATTTTTTGTTGCTATATGTGATTAGATAGTCAATGGCTATTAATTTACAAAAATTATACTTATTTACTTTGTTTTTTTTTTCTTTTTGTTGCTTTTCTTTGCAAGTTGTAGAGAAAGAAAGGATTGGATGAAGACTACAAAGAGCATTTTTTTTTGAGATGTTAAAAGGAATTTCTTTTGGACTACTCTATATTTGATTTGTAGGTTAAAAAAAGAAGACATGTACTCAAGGAAGAATGAATATAATGAGGGCTGAATGTTGTGTTTTTTTTTTTTTGTTCTTAAAATGATTATGGAAGTCAATTGGAATTTTATGGATAATGTGTATCTTTTTGGATTTTATATATATTTTCATACAGGTTTTATGTTTTGATTGAATAAATTTTCATGTAGGTGTATTAATTGGACTTATGTAGCAATATTCATAATATATTGCACTTTTTTTAAAAAACTTGTAACCGTTTTAGAAGCAGTCAAAAGTGCCTCTAAATATTAAAGCATACAAATTTTTCTTTTTCTTAGATTTCTTTTAGAGGCACATAAAATTATCGCAAAATCCTTTAGAGGCGTTCAAATTCGCCTCTAAATTGAACTTTTAGAGGCACTTTTAACTGCCTCTAAATAGAATTTTTAGCGTTAGTGCAATAAAGGCAGTCGTATGTGCCTCTAAAAGTCCAATTTAGAGGCGGATTATAAATCCGATTCTAATGCTCAACCAAGCGCCTCTAAAACATTTAGCGATAAGGCTTTTAGATGCATTTACCTGGCTGCCTCCTATAACCTTTAGAGGCATTTTTTACTCTTTTAGAGATAGTTATGACCGTCTCTATAGATGAATTTTCCAGTAGTGATCGTTGAACGGTTCGATCACCCGAGTCAGCAGTTTGTTGACCAAATCAACAATTTTTGGTGAAATAAGGGTTCTAGGGTAAAACGGAACTGGTCATTCCTAGTTTTTCTGATCCAGCCATTTGTTTCAGTCCGGTTTTGAAAACCATGCTCTTCAACACATTTCATTTACCTAGGCAATACACTAATAGAACATCCAATAGCCTCAAGCTTCTCCTTTGCTGATTTTTTTTCTCCAAAGCATTTTAATTAGGGAACATGCAAATGCAAATCTTGTTACATGATTTGTCACTATTCTCACGGTGGCTGAAATGTGGTGATAAGGACCAATTGGAATGTGAAACCAGTCTCGGTCAACAATTTGTCCATTTCATCCTGAAGAGAAGGCTAATTTAGGTTGTACATGTACAAGTTAACAAACAACTCTAGATGGTCTAGGTTCATGAGAGAAATTTGAATAGGAAAAATTGTTACTTTCCCACTAAGAAGTAGGAATGCAACTTTAAGCAAAATAAATTGATAAAAGAAACAAAAAATTGTTACTTTCCCACTAAGAAGTAGGAATGTAGCTTTTAACCAAGATAAATTGATAAAAGAAACCACTGAAATATATACTAACAATCTAAATTGAACCTACTAGTATAAATTATTAAATTAGCAAAGAATTTCTTTAAACGATGACACATCACCAGGAGATAAATTAGCAAAGAATGATTTGGTGGATCAGTTTGGAAGGAGTACAAATACAAATTTGTAGAGTGCAAAACTTTACAATTTCTATTATTTTGTATGCATTTGTTGTTAGACAGTGTATGCCCTTACTTTCAATCAGATGTACATTTTGACATTTATTGTAAATGGATAAAGTACATAATTTATTCATGTTATCTATACTGTGATTTTGTGTAATACCCTTAAACTGAACACTTATGAGACTCGTGCTAGTTTATAATCTTCATAACTGTTGGATAAACCTGGGGAGGTTTATCTTGTCAAGGTTGACACTAATGTGTTGTCAAGTCGGTTGAGGTGGTTTGTCTCAACTGCTAAGGTGAGATCTGAAGCACATGTAGTGTGGGTTTGCTTAAAACCCTGAACCGGATCATTTTCTAGTTATGCCCTAAACCTTGAAGACAGATTGACAAAACTGGAAAGTTACACCTAACCCCTAGACTCGATTATGGTACTACACTAAGTGTTGAATTGTGTTATATTTGATATGCAATCAGTGAGATCCTTAGCGGGGGTCAAAACTTGGTTATGTTGGGGCAGTTTGAGAATTCACCTAAGTGGGTGATCATAGTGATATAATCAACCCCTTTGTTAGATAAAGTGAATGATCGGGGACTGCACTCTCTCTAATGGAAATCTAAACTACTGATAGTTGATTTTAAACTTGTTGAGATTTGGTTTTGCAAAATATATTTATATAGAGATATACATATATTTTATGGTTTCACAAAATGTTTGCAAAAAATGTTTTAATTCCCATGATCCAAGTGAGCGGAGAGTGCTACACTGTACCTTGTAGCCGAGGGAGAGGTCATCCCTTGTCGGACAGTGTTTGATCATTATGGTTTAATCTCACGTAAGTCCATATTCCTTAGGCCTTCATAAGGTGGTTGGACCCAATGATCATTTAGTGTAAATGTTGGGCATGTTAAGAGCCCATACTGATGGACCAGGGGTTCACTGTCTTCAGTAGTGAATTCGGCCAGACCTTATAAAAGAGGCTAAGCTGAACCCATATGGTTTTTGTGGAGATCAATGATAGTGTTCCATACCATACAAAGAGAGTTAAGCTAGCCAACAATTAAAAGAAAGTGAGCCTGAAAGTTTAATGGGCCTAATGTCCAATTTGAACTAGGGTTTAATGAGATTAATTAAAAGAGGCGACTTTGGGTTTATATTTGGATAGGGATCAATAAGAGGATAAGATAAGTTTTATCCACTTAAGAGTCTAGATCCAAATAAAGATTTGGATTGAAGAACCCTTTCCTAATTTGATTAGGAAGCTGATCTTGAAAGGATATGAGTTAGGAGATGAATTCTACAAAAAGAACTATTCTTTTCTATAATTTGCTTTCTTCCTTTGCTCTTGCCACCCTATCTTGTTTGATCTCCAGTTCTTGGAGTGATCAAGATTGGATCTTGATATTGTTTCTTACTAGAAGAAACAATCTTGAAGTTCTGCTCACATCCTTATTTGATTCTTGTTAAAAAATTGGGGTTTTTGTTGAAAAATATCTTTGTTGATCCTACATCACCTTAAGTTGTGTCATCGTTAGTGGAGGAAGGATTTGGTGAAATCTTTGGGTGTGAACACCTACGTTTGGGAACTACTGTTGATTCCATATTATGTATATCCCTCCCTTAATTTTGGTTTCAAATTTAGTGTACTTTATTTCAAGAATGAATCTTGAAAAATGTAGTTTTTCTAAATCAGGGAAAAGGATTTTCGGAAGGGAGAAATAAAATTTTTGAAATTTCACCCAACCACCCTACATGGTTCGGCCATCCATATGATGGATCTCCCTTCCCTTCATTTGTGCCCTACATATTTGCATTTGCACTCCTTCCAAATTGAGCTTAGTAAAAATGATGACAACCTGAGTTAGATAGTGTGTCATGCACAAGAAGTTGAAAAGCAACTTGTCTATTTTTTCAAACAGCCACAGTTTTTCCAAAGCAAGGCACATCTAAACCCCCACCTATATATCTAGCTTGAGAACCATACTAACCAACCATGGCAGGACGAAATATTAAAAGAAAGGTGACCACTTTTAACAATATACAAGAAATTTATAAATTAAGAAAAACTACATAGAAAGAACAATAACAGAAAAACATATTTGGAAACATAGTTGGGATCCATTTATAGTCATAGATTACTTTAGACAAGATAATGGTACAAGGAGAGTCCATGATATATGAACAATGTCCTAATGTTATGATAGGAAAGCTCAAAACTTTCTGATATTTCATATTGATTGATTGAGACAAGATGGTAATGCAAATATAGGAATATTTATTTCACTACATGACTCCACCTTTATTTCTTTTTCTTTTGCTCTTTCTTTGATGGATACATGACTTCACCCCTTTCTGCTTCATGGAGGGACCATATGAACGGTCCAGATAATCAGTTGGATTGGGGGCTGACTGGATTGGCCATGTGCTCAATTCCCCAGTCCATTTTTTATTTGATCATCAGTTGCAATGTTTGGATTCTATTAAATGATTAAACAAAATAAACTTTGTTCCAAGAAAAATAGAATGAAGGAAATATAAAACACAACTAATTAGAGCAGGCCCCATGCCAATACAATTGCTTTAAGAGAAAATTGTCACACTGTTTACAAACCCCTGCCTAGACCAGGTAATTAGTTATTTCCATCTCTTGAGAATGGCAAGGGTCCCCCATCTCTTGAGGGTCTCAAGAGTGTAAGAGTCTAGGGTCGCTCATCTCTTGATATCAAACCTTTCCATTGCATCTGTAAAGAGCTGTAGTTCTTCAAATGTACCATATGCATCGTAAGTATCATCTAGAATTGAAGTCATGGCTATTACTTTGGTTAGGATCATCCAACCAAGAGAGTACTGAGGTTCTGGATACACTCCCATCATCCAAAAATAACACTCTACCACTATGTTTCTAGCATATGGTATCTTTGATGCAAAATCTAAATCTTTCCACCACCTTTAATAAAGATAGATATAAACAAGCCTGAATTAGCTAGAACTTAATTACCTTGAGGGAGTGTATTGTGGAGGGGAGAATAGTGAAAGAAACTCACTCACTCACCTTGATATTTGGCTTAGCTTCTTGAGATGTAATGACTGTAATCGATTAAAATCCAGTTTTGCGAGCTTTAGCAAAACTTCATTCCGGGTTTCATTCTGTTGATAGAAAGAGATGTAATGTCGTTTCTTTAACTTAAGCATGCCTTTGTGGAAGGGCTGCTCTAGGGCATGCATTACTTGTTGTTTTACAAGAGTAGGGGAACTTGTATCGGTACCCACATATAACTTGAGATGAGCAGTGGTAAAATCAAGGGCTTCATCTACAAGTTCTTTGCATATCCCAATATGTGCAGCTTCATACAAACTTAGCATGCCTCGTATGTCTCTAGTTAAGCTATCATTAAATTTTTCATGTTCATCTTGGAATTTGTTGAACACATCTACTTGACCAACAAAAAAAAGAAAAGTAGAGGTATAAAGTTGGATGGAATAGGGCCAGGTTTTAAGCCAACCTAATGCCAATCCTAAATATTGGGTCAAGGGATTGAGCTCAAACCAAACTAGGGCCAGATTTCATTCATTTATTGTAAATGAATAAAAGTACATTATTGTTTCATGTTGATATTGGTATATTTATATGAAATTACCCCTTAAACTGAATACTTATGAGATTCGTATTAGTTTACAACATTCTTAGCCATTGAATAGACTTGGAG